ACAGGTAATTAAAGCTGTTAAAAAAGCAAACAGGTCACTAGGCTTTATAAATAGGGGCATAGAATGCAAAAGTCAGGAAGTTATGATGAACCTTTATAAAACACTGCTTAAGCCTCAGCTGGAGAACTGTGTTCAGTTCTGGGCACCACACTTTAGGAAGGATGTCAAAGCATTGGAGACGGTGCGAGGGAGATTTACCAGGATGGTGCAAGGAATGAGGGACTTCAATTATGAGGAAAGGCTAGAAAAGCGAGGATTATTCGCCTTGGAGCAGAGAAGGTTAAGAGTAGACTTAATAGAAATTTTCAAAATTATGAGGGAATTAGATAGAGTGAACAAGGAGAAATTATTTCCACTGGCAGGTAGGTCGGTAACCCGAGGACACAGATGTAAAATAGTTGTTAAAAGACCAGAGGGAAGGTGAGGAGAATTGTTTCACACGGCGAGTTGTTTGGATGTGGAATGCATTGCCTGAAAGAGTGGTGGAAGTCGATTCGATAACAACTTTTAAGAGAGAAGTAGATAATTATTTGGGGAGGACAAGTTTGTAAAGCTATGGGAAGAGAGCGCGGGGGAGTGGGATTGATTTGGATAGCTCTTTTCAAAGAGCCGGCACAGACACGATGGGCCGAATGGCCTCCTTCTGTCCTGTATAATTCTATGATTCTAAGTAAATGCAACTTGCTCGTTTACAAAGCAGGTTTTAACATTTAAAATGTCGATGAGAAGGTTTTTAACATAATATAAGCGTGACTGACTATTTTGTGGGCAAACAAAATCATTTCCAAAGTTTTAACAAATCGTAAAAATTCAGTGAGTAGTGTTCACATTTTTGGCTGATTCATTTATCAAACTTGTTTTGCTGTTGTTTGTATGTGGTGTCTTGTGTGGTCTTGTGTATGTGTTGTGTGTGTGTGTGTGGTAAGGATAGAATTCAGCCTGGTGCTTATGCTCTATTAGACTTCTGTGTCTGACTGTCAAGATTTGCGCATGAAGAATAGCCACTTGGTTCAGGTACCCAAGGGTTGTGGTCTGGGAGGGTCACTGATCCCTGTAGACCATGACAAATTAGTCAAGACCTGGGCCAACAGAAAAGTGCGGCTGCACGTTTTCCGCAGAATGCGCCATAAATAGCTTCCGCCGCTACAAACCCTCTACAAACTTCTCCGCTACAAACCCACTATAGACGGCGCAAGCGGCAAATGGGCTTCACTTGGAGGCCCCGCTGTTGGGATTGTTGGTGTGAGTGTGTTTGTTTGTGTGTGAGAGTGTGTGATTGTCTGAGAATGGAGCCATCAAAGGTAAAAGCGGTGGCTGTGGCTAATCTAAAGAGAGAGTGAGAGTGGTGGTGTTCACTGCGGACTGATCACTCACTTCATGGCTGTTAGTTGGACATTGCTAGGTGCAATTTGGCTGCCTTGTTCAGCTGCAAAAATGCAGTTGCTACACTTTACAGGATATCCTGTGAAGCAATTTGAGATGTCCACCTGACGTGAAAGGCACTATTATTGTTGTATATAAGTATTATTAAATGAAAGTATCATTGTTATGAAGAAGAAACTGACTTAAGAACTGGAACGTGACTTTCAATGTCCCATCAAAGGGAAGGCAATGAGGAGATGAGATTAATGATTGTTGTTACACTAAGAGAGGTAGAAAAGAAGGCTGCGGCTCTTTATGGAACGTGATCTAAAGGAAGGTGATGCATGACAAATCATCAAAGGTCATTAATATGGAGAAACACGGGACAGAGGACAGAGCTCTGGGGAACATCTGAATCAAGGCGAGTCAGAGATGAAACAATGAATTTGAGAGAACCAAGCGATTTGAGAGAAAAGTAATACAATAGAAACCTGCATTTATTTGGCTCCTTTCTTGTAAATGAATGCCTTAAAACCGTTGACAAATGTAGTGCATGCACACCTAGCAGGGAAATGAGAGATTGATAGATTTTGATCCCAAATCATGGCTGAAGATGGATACGAGGAATTGAATCATCATTTGGTTCAGAGGGAAAACCACAAGCAATTTTGTAAGGATGGGTTTAGGGGGAAAGTTGGGCAGAGGAGAATTAGTCATTTCTTCTTTCTTTCCTGTGGCCAACATGACTATTTTGAATTATTCATAGAGTGGTATGTGACCACTATGGTTGTGTCTTCCCTGCTATGTAATAGTTTGTGGAAACAAAAAAAAGGAAAATACTATTTCAGACAACTTGATCTGCCCTTTGTGGCTGGATGTTATAATAACAATAATTCTTGCATTTGTTATAGAGCCTTATCGCGTCTTTGAGACGTCTCAAAGTGCTTCTCAAAATATATTGAATTGACTATATATTGTGAGTGAAACTCGACAGGCAATTGCGCACAGCAGTGTCCCACAAACAGTCATGGATTGAGTGACCAAATAATTATTATTATAGTTTTTTAAGGGAATATTACCTCCCCAGAAAACAATCCGCCAATCAACTAACAACTGGGTTCTTACTTACTGCTAGAATCTTTAGCATTATGTCCAAGCAGCCTTAATGGAAAATGCATAACAAATACGTCAGAATTAATCAGCCAATGTACAGCAATTGCGCAGGCAATTACCCCTGCAGTGCATTATTCATGGATTCACAGCAGAGAGTCTTAAATAAGAATTCCTTAGTTACATTTCATAAATGTTTTAATGACGGCATGCTGTTGTCCGAATATATCTGGATGTCTGTGAGCTAATGGAGATAGCGCACCACTCAATAACCGTCTCTATTGACCTTTTTAATCCATAGATGATTGCAGTATAAAGTAATCTTAGCACTAGCTTAAAACAATACAACAGCAAGATTGTAATTTTTAATTCACTTTTGTTTATTCTGGGCTTCCCTAAAGAAATTCTGTTTGTTTACACGTGTAAGTACTACTCTTAGCCTCCCTGTTATTTCAACTAAATTTGGTGCTTTCAAAACATTCAAATCTGGTTGTTTGTGAAATTATTGCTATTTGGTCACTCAATCCATGACTGTTTGTGGGACACTGCTGTGCGCAATTGGCTGCTGTGTTTCGCCCGCAAAATATACAGTCAATTCACATTACAGTATGTTCTGTGAAGCGCTTTGAGACGTCTTGAAGACGTGATAAGGCGGAATATCAAATGCAAGGATGATTATTATTATATTAAATGCAAGGATTATTATTATTATTGTACGCCACTGCTTTCCCCCCCCCCACCCCACCCCAAGAAATAGTTTAAAGACTGACTGGCTGGACTCTCACAGTCTGCTTCCAGCAATTCTGGCAAGTGTGCTGTGACCTACTGCTGCTCAATGTCAGTATTCTCCGCCAGCAATTCTAACGGTCTCACGTTCCAGTCAGTGCTAAGTGTAGTACCTTTGGTAACGTCAGCTAATGGTGTGACACCAAAGACATGAATATCAGCATGCCAGGTGAATCTTACTGCAAACCACCGCTTTTTCGACTGCCATTGTTACTCCATTGGGGCATCGTGCACTACCGATTGGGCATATCATGAGCCTGAACCTACGATGTGATCGTTCTGGTTTAGAAGTCTTAAGTAATCCACAGTGTTTCTCTCTCTCTCTCGCTTACTTTCGCCTCACACCTCTCACCGTCACATCAGGAAGGAGTCTGTCTGTCATCCAGGCGCTATATAAAATGCAACCGCAACGATTAGTCACCCACTTGTTAGCTTTTTGGAGCAGTGTGAGGGCATTGATGTTTTATGCATTTACTACACCATTTTTCTGCATGTTTGTCCCAGCTCAGTAGTGTCACCATGAATTAAATTACAGGTTATTGGCAACCTCCAGTATGGGATTCGGGATGAGTCAGTTGTTGGGAATATTTGTACAGCATAAATCGTTAGGTGTGTTAAAAAAATTAAAAATTGAGCAATAACTTTTTGGTGATACAATATTGTTTTTGAAACTAACTTTGCTGGGTTTTGAGAGATTACTATTTTTAAAATTAAAACCTTTTCTTTAAATAAAAAGCCCAAAACATTCTCGGCTTTGTTTTGATGAGATAGTTTGTGGCACATTGGTGTGCGCCATTGGTGGCCGTGGTTCGTCCACACATCAGACAGTCAATCCACTTTACAATATATTCTGTGAAGCGCTTTGAGATGTCTCAACAACATGATAAGGCGCTATATCAAATGCAAGGATTACTATTATTAGTTATTACACTGGTGGCTGTGCCAGCCACCAAATCGGAAAGAGGTAAGAAAGATTGGATAGTGAGAGCAAGATTGTCATTCTGCAACTAAAGGAGACCTCAGCTAGGAACTTGTACTCAGTGCGAAAGGGAGAGCTCACTTAAAGCAACTCCAGGAGATGAGAAATTGCGATTTGAGTCATTTCCATAAAATTTGGGGGTGGGGGGGCATGAGATTCGGGAAGAAATCCATATTTTGCTCCCAGAGACGAAACTCTGTTTAGCATTAAGGAAAAACAGTAATAGTAATAATCCTTGCATTTAATTTAGCTCTAAATTACGTTGCAAATAGTAAACAGCAACAAGAACGACAACTTGCATCTATGTAGAGCCCCTCACTCAGGCTGGCATCCCAGAGGGCTTAAACCCCCTTGTCCAGTCCCGTCAATAGCCAGAGGTACGTCACGAAAGGGAGCTTTGCTGTGGCAGTACACCAGGGTCGGATTTTATTCTTGACACTTGCTTTGCGGGAAAGACACTTCTCCTTTAAGAAGCTAGAACATGTTGCCATCTGTTGTATTGGGAATGCTTTTCCCTGACATTTATTTATTCGCTGGTATTATGCGCTGATTAACAGCAGTGCGCTAGAGGGAGCTGTTGCCTTTCGTTCGGTACTGTTGTGAATTTCTGGGACCGAGGTACACCACAATTGTAGTTATGACTGCTCACCGAAGATTGGTATCAGAAGATTTGGGTTAGATGTGTTGCTTTGTGGTAGGGCTATCTTGGTATGCCATGACCTCCTTTGTTGCTAATCATTTGCTGTTTGTTTGTGTTGCACAGCTCAGCATCATGAAAGCCAGCAGCAGAAATAAAGACCATTCAGCAGATGGCGATGGGACTGGAAAAAGACCAAAGCGGAAGTGTCTTCAGTGGCATCCACTGCTTGCCAAAAAGATGCTGGACTTCTCAGAGGAAGAGGAGGAAGATGAGGAGGATGAAGATATCGATAAGGTAGAAAAATAAGCCATTTATTTTGATTGACATTGCACTTCCCCATGGGAGCCAATTGACACTTTCTCATTTGGGGCTCAATGTTCACCTGCTCTAAAACACTGAAATGTTTGGCAGATGTAAACGGTGAGAAGAATCACAAGGGTCAGCATTCACATTCTGTAGCTCTCTTAAATTCAGAATTTGGGTGAAATGTAAAAGCCCCCAAAATGCTGTACGTCACCAGGGTTGACGAGAGTGGCAGAGATAAACAGGCAAGTCAGGACGAAGTGCTTAGCTACTGCAATGGAAGCGAGCTTGCACCTGCATCTCCCCAGGTGCTGATAAGCTTCTGACCCGAGTTGTTGGTGTGATGGGGAGGTGCTGATGACAAGTCACGTTCTTTCCCAGGTACTGGAGGGAGAATGGCGTCAACTTGCTATTCTTACACCTCACACAGCAGTGATGTTGAGACCAGCTGGCCTGCCAGGTTGTCTTTCGCCATACACACTAAGGATTGAAGAAAAGGAAAATTTAACTAAATATCTGAACACAATGTAACACAAACCTTACATTTCACTTTTTCGCTCTTTTGCTCGCTCTCACTATCCAATTTATTGTCAACTGGGTGGGTCGAATGTTCATTCCTCCAGGCACAATCAGTTACCTTTACTTAACTTTCCTGCCAGTCAGAAAACATGCTGAAAAGGTCTTTTCTTCTCTTTATTTCTTCATCTTCCATGAATTGTACCTTTGGGGGTAAAACTCTCCCTCCAGGTTAAGCCACTGTATGAATCATCTAGTCCTCTTGTGCAAGGGCTCAATTTAATTCAGACAAGCTCACTTACTTGATTCATCGATCACTTTAAGGTTCATATTGGAACTTACCTCAATGCACAATGTACACCAATGTCACAATATTATTTATGGATAAAATAGTAAAGATGGTCCGGTCTATCAATCACTGTGAAAGTACATTTGGAGACTCTTTTCAGCACTTTCCCCATCAATAATCCTTACATTTGGCAGAGTGCCTTTCATTTCAGGGGCAAGTCTCAAAGCGCTTCACAGAATTCACTGCAAAAGCACAATGACTGTGTATTTTTAGGCAAACGCAGCATTCAATTCGCACGCAGCAGTGTCCCACAAACAGCCATGAAGTGAATGATCAATTTTATTTGGGGAATTGCTGTCCAGGTTACCAGGAGAAACTGCCGTCTCTTTTTGAATAGTGCAACAGGATCCTTAATGTCTATCGGAACAGGCAGTCGGGACCTCGGTTTATTGTCTTATTTGAAGGACAACACCTCCAACATTGCAGCACATTCCCAACTCTGCTTTGGAGTGCCCAAAGTATATGATTTCCAAGACTTGGTGGGAGCCTTGAACTCATAACATTCTGACTCAGGATAGAATGCTACAACCTGAGCTAGGATGATACCCAATATAAAGACTCATGTTTTGGTTCTCATACTATACATAATATATGGGACTGCTCATTGATGCAGGTAAGAATTTACCAGATGGACCAGCAACATATAGACTACAATAGATACCTGGTTTATTTTAAATAACCTATTATTATTAATAATTATAATGATATTCCTTACATTTGGTATTTGTAATTGAGGCACATATTTATTAAGCATTAGAAGACAGTTAAAATACAGTGATTTTAAGCACAGTTCCCACAGTGTATTATCTGATGGCAATTCAGACTCCTGGTTCTTATAAGTGACGAAGCTTCAGCACAATTCCTGCTCAACCTTTTCAGAATCTTCCTCGTCTTCAGTCCGAAGACAGCGGAAATTACATACATACGCTCTTATCTCAACCTGCAAATTGGACCCTGATGCAGCACAATTTACTTCAGCTAAACAGCAAGGATAATGATGAATTCCGGAATCTGCTGGGTTGACGGTTGAACTGGGTTACAGTTCATGGTTATTAAGCTTCAGAGATTACTTCCTGCACGGCAGCCTAGTTCTTAGAATTCTCTGCTTTCTTGAGCCATCAAGGTCATTTGATTAGCATGGAAGTTTCCTTTGCACAGAGGAAATAAGAATTTAAGCCGTTAAGACCTTTTTAATATTCTGTCCTGGAGCACTAAAGTCAGAAGCAAAGGTCTGTGAGGTAATAAGACTTCTGGATTTCCAGACCTCCTTTGGCAAATGACGTTGTGCCACTTTGATGATGCCAAGATATTCGTCTATGTGCAAATTGCCTTAGAATACTCGGGGGGATGTGTCTACTACTCCAAATAATTGTTTATAGTAAAACACATTGCCCCCAGATCCAGATTTTACAGGAAATTCTAGTGTTCTCTGACCAACCAAGGCCGGTGTATTTACAGACTGGAGAATGATGCTCGTTTTTTAGAGGAGAAAACCGAACTGATCGTTTCAGTTATCCTTTGATTTGATCTTTCAAGGTTTTTTTTGATGGAAGCTCCAAATTGCCTACAGTGGTTTGAACTCAGCGGAAGCTGTACAGAAGTGCAACAAATCCAAAAAAATCCACAAGTCAAACCAATGGTCGAGAAGGCAGAGTGGAGTGCAGGCAGGATTAGGAAACCAGAATTCATGTTTCCAGCTCTCCTGTTGAGCATATGAGCATTATCCTATGGCTGTCGAGGAGTTTGCGAGGAGGTGGACTAAGTTCTCCCATCATGATGGCAGAGGTGGACAGATGTGAACTTAGAGTGGTGGAGCTGTGTGTGTGGGGGGGGTAAGAGAAGGGTGGGAGTCGGAACGAAGTAGATCACAGCAGCTGTGGCAAAGTGACCGAGTCTGTGACACAGAAAAATGGACAGATAAGATGGTGTGGCCTGTCTCTGGAGCCGAACTCCGACAGCTGTTAAAAATTTTATTATGTGTCACGTTCGGTCTCAGATAATACTGAAAGATCTTGTTTGCTTGCAACATGTAATCTACAGCTAACTGTTCAGGAGCATTCCTACCGAGACAGTTGATTGTTTCTGGATGCTCCTATCTTACCATCTTTCATTGTGTAATTTATTCCATGAAGAAAAAAACTCCCCAACAAGTTCCACAGTAAAAGAAACAAACTATGACTCTAAATCCAGTTCTGTGCAGTCTATTTGGTGTTTAGTTAAAATATTGTTGCAGCTTCTAAATGTATCCATTCCCTGTTGCTTACCTATGGAAAAAAACAGAAGCTATGTTACTTCTTAGCATTGAGTAGCCAGAAAATGTTCAATACATTTTCCAGTTAAAGGCTGTCGAGTAAGGATAGTTATGGGCTTTCAAGCTACATGGAAAGGCTCAACGAGTGAATTTGTTCTCATCGGAAAGCACATTTTGTGATGAGTACGTGGTCAGAGTGTTCAAAACTATTGTGGGAACTGGTAAGGTACAAATCGCATAGTGTTTTGTACAGAACCGGGGTCATTATTGTAAGCTTAGGGATGTGCAAGGCAAAAATGTTTTTCACACGAGTCGTGTCCATACTTAGAACTTTAAACTTGAGCGTGAAACAGCCACCAAACGTTCTGTGGGCAGAATTGGTGCCTCCGTTAATTCTTAACCAAGGTTTGGCCACACAAGGCTGGAGCATATAGTTAAGCAATCTCTCGGGAACCCAGATCTGTGATGTGGATGGACAAGTTTTCAGCTTTCAGTGGAATGGGAATTGAGGTACAGGGCATTTTTCCTCACGAGAAAGGCTGACTGAAATTATATTGATTGAAGCCCAGCGTCTTTAAAGGATAGTAATTCAGCAAAAGCATCAGCTGCTCTGGCCATTGCCTCTTGGACCACGACATAACTTGGATGGGTAATAGGGTACAGCGTAATAATCCTATATGAAAACTAGCCTGGCATATTGGAGTCTCTGTGAATAATGTCTTATCAGAAAGTCCTATGTGGGCACAACAGTCAGTATGAGTAAAAAGTACTTGTAAAGTCTCAGGATTTGGTATCTGGGAGGTGAATTTGGGGTATGTGCGATTGTGCGAGGTGACGAAACAGAAAGCTTTTTAAAAAAAAATCTGCAACCCAAGCTCTGGCCTGAAATTGACGGCAGCGGCTGGGCAGTGAAGGTAATTCACTGAGTGGCACCCACTTTGTCTTGCAAAAGCACACCTGCAGTCCTCAATGTACTGTATTCGCTGCAGGATAATTTGATGGCCACAGAGGGTCTTGAACACGAGGTGGATGAGACCGAAGATGACGACGCCTCCGAGCAGCGGGCTCGCAGGCCAATGAACGCATTTCTTCTCTTTTGCAAACGCCATCGCTCCCTGGTTCGTCAGCAGCATCCCCGTCTCGACAACCGCGGCGCTACCAAGATTCTGGCTGATTGGTGGTCTGTTCTAGATCCAAAGGAAAAGCAGAAATACACAGACCTGGCTAAGGAGGTGAGATAACAAGTAAATTGCAATGAAACCTATACTTAAGGATCACCTTTGGGACTGATCTCACCTGCCTGCTTAAGACGGATATCTTCTGAATGCAGGTGCTAAATTCTAAAATTGTTATCGCATAATGGACGTGGTTAACACACATCACCTAAGTATAAACTATCTCTATCCTGCATGCGAGGTAGTCGAAGGCTTCTCTGTTGAATGCCAGAGATGTCCATTTCATTTAACACGTCCGCTCCACTTGCTCAATCAAAAGGAATTACTCTAGACTGAGAGGGAGTCATTTAATTACCCCCATCTCCCACCCCCCGAATCCTTGGCATAAGGTAAGATCACTTTAAAAAATAAACCAATAAATAGCTACTTTACATTTACCATACACCTGCCTTCACCATGAAAACCCAATCACTTTGCACTGGGACCATGAGTGATTTAAGGATGACTGTTTAATCCACTTGCCAGTAGAGCAGGATTACTTGAACTGCAATCCAATCAGTTTCACATGTAACTCTGGCTGTACAGCAGCTGCCTTTTAATTCAAGTGGAGTCACTTTCAAATGAACTTGGAAACCTGCTAGTTCTGCGAAATAATCTGCGATGGATCAACATTCCGGGGGAAGCAGCACTGTAATGGTATTGCAATATCATTAATCTAGCCACAGTTTCCCCAGTTCACTCATTTTAATAACATTTGATATTGCGCCTCATCACATCATTGAAACTTCTCATAGCACTGCACAGGATATTTTGTAGAGTGATCGTGAATGTGTATTTTGGAGGTATAGTTTACTGCTGGTGTGGTGTATTTTCTGGCATAGTTTGAAGCACTGTGGAGCACAGGTATTGAGAAAGGGAAAGAGAGAGGTACCATATACTTGCCAAGTTGTTGACAGTGTCCACTTTAGAAGCAATGCTCGCCCACAGTAAAACATTTCCAAACGGGTAGATAAGCAGCTTAGATATATGAAAATACACCCATCCAACTGGGAAATAAAAGACCCATGTTAACTTCTCCATGACGGGGAGAGAAGAAAAACATAGCTTGATGGCAACCTTGGGTAATATGCCTCTTTTTTAACTTGCCGTTATTCTTCAATGAATAATAAACAAGACAAGTACTGGGCTATATTGCTAAATCAATTGAGTTTAGCTCCCCCGATGTCGTTCTCAGGCTGTCCAGTGCTCTGGTCAGCCCGCACTTTGAAAACTGCATAGAGTGCTGGTCACTGAGATAGCAGGGGACTATTGAGGCCCTAGAGGCAGAGGAGAGCAAAAGGAAAATCCCCAGGATTAGAGGAATGAGCTATGAGCAACGATCAGAAAAGTTAGGCCTCTTCTGTCTGGAGGGAAAACAACTCAGAGGGGACCTCATAGAGAGGTATACCATTTTAAATGGGATGAAAAAAGTAAACCCAGATCATTACTTTTTGAATGTACCACGACAGTAGGATGAGACGGCATAGATTTAGAGTTGTAAAGGGAAATTTCAGGACAGATACAGCACAGCAGGGTAATCAATGACTGGAACAGGTTGCCAGGAAAGATGCCAAAGACCAAGGTGCACGATTCATTTGAAAAGCGAACGGGGGAATGGGTGTTGTGGAGATTGGATTGGCTGAAAGGCCTTCGTCAACCAGAACAATCTTGTGATCTTGCGAACAGCACATTATCAGTCAGACATTATTTTGTATTTTCTACCACACTGTAGGTCGGTACGCGCTTGAAAATGTCGGCCATAGACAGCCTTCATTTAAAACTATTTTAACGCTATGTTGTCATGAAGTTGGATCACACCCTCAATATGCCCCCTAATTTGTAAGGCCAACCACCCTGTGGCTCTTTGTTTGCTTGTTTCCTGTCGGTAGCTAACAATCTGGATCATTCCTCTTGCTGGTGTCAAGCACATCAACATTCTCAGCCACCCAGTTGGTGTCAGGCAACCTCAGAAAGAGACCACCGTTGACACCAGATAAAGTTCTGATTTTACTTACAGTATTTCAAAGCCATGTATGGAGCCCTGACATGTATTTTGTCTGATATTTGTATAAACTAAAACTGTAATGGTTAAAAAAGCATTACCGAATGGGGGGAGTAAAAACTTATATCCATCTGTTGTGTGAGCCTTTATTTATGTGGTGGCAGATTTCACAATTAGCCAGAGCTGCAGAAAAATAATTGTGCATTCATTAAGTTGGAGTTTGTTTCTGTCTACTGTTACCTCTCCAATCACTGTCCCCCAAACCAGAGTGGGCAAAACCGTGTTGTCAGCCTTTTATTCTGTTTGTACACTGAGCTACTTCAGTCTGATGCTACCTAGAAAAGACGTCTCTGTGATGATTAACGTTGCTGTGAGGCCCTGAAGATCTCTGTTGGTACAAAACAAACAAAACCAACCTCTTTACATGGCCTCAAGTACTTGTTTCCCTTCCTAACTTCACCACCTGGACTATGGTAAAATGATGCAGCATAAATCAGACTTTCTTTTCACTATACATTTAATATTTACCCCATAAATTCTCTTTTCTTATTCTTCTCCCCCCTCTTTCCTTTCCACCTAGGGATGCTACATATTTGGTTTGAATCTGGGGAGGGGGGAGAAAATCTACATTCCTAACTGTACCCCATGCACTTATAGCTCTAGTCTATTGCTCACTCCTCACTCCCTTTGCTCCACTATTGGTGATCAAGCCTTCAACCATTTTGCCCGTGTCCTCTGCAACCCGTTTCCAGAAACACACGCATTGGTACCTCTCTTGCTTTCAATGATCTTCTAAAAACGTAATTTTGTTGTTGTTGTATCTCTCCAACCCTGTATATGTATTTACACCTTTAAACTGCTTATTTCCTATCGTCACAGTTGTCAAACGGTTTCATACATTCTTTTTTGTAAAATAGGACTGCAAGCTTGGTTGAAAAGCAGACAAAATAAAACCCATGTTTCCAGTTACCGCAGTGTCTTATGATATGGGTGTATCAGTTATTGAGGCTTGATATGAATCATTAGGAAAGCAAACATCATAACTCAAGATTACACTTCCTTTAGATTCAGGAAAAGATGGCTGTTCTGTCCCAGTCCAGTTATTTTCTGCTTTTGTCTGGTTTCAAACACAAATAATCCTTACATTTGATATAGCACTTGGGAGGACTTCTCAAAGTGCTTCATAAGATATACTATTTTGTAGGTGAACACAGCAGCCAATTTGGCACAGCAAGGACCCAAAACTTGACTAATTTTTATCTGGAGGATTGTTGGCAAAGCCGCTGGGAGAAACTCCCTTTTTTTCGAATCGTTGTGTGGGATTTTTAACGTCCCCTGAACAGGCAGACGAGTCCTCAGTTTGATGTATCATTCAAGGAGATGGTACCTCCCACACTGCAACATACTCCCAGCACTGCAATGGAGTGTTAGCCTAGACTATGGGAATTCCAAGTCCCTGAATGTGCCAGTGGTAGAAAGTTACATAAAAGTTTACTGAGTTGTCTCTCTATGCACATTGTGAGGGATAGAACTTTATATTTGCTATGTTTGTTAACTCAATTCTGTATGAAGTAAATAAAGTGTAGCTCCCGTGCTACTGAGTCGGAGGCGTGGTTCTATAAGCATAAAAGGAACAAATTGTACTTGTGATGAATTCATGTGTGAGTTAGCTATACCTACTTTGAAAAGTGGGACAGATAGTGGTGAGAGGAATTATATGTTTTAAAAATCACAGTTCTTCAGGGAGAAAGTAAATAATAACAATAATCCTTATTTTTAATATAGCGCCTTTCGTGTCCGGAGGACGTCTCAAAGTGCTTCATAAGATTCACTATTTGTAGACGAGTGTGGAAGCCAGTTTGAACACAGCAATATTGCACACACAGCCATGAAGTGAAATGAATGATTTCACAGAATGGATGGTGTGGTATTTCCCTTTGTGGCTTTAGGAATCAATAAAAGAGCATCTGTTATTAATAGCAAAAAAAATAAAATTAGCTTGTGCCAGTATTTGTTTATATACTCGCAACCACATCACTCCCACCCTCGCTCGCCTCCACTGGCTCCCCATCCCCTAGAGGATCGAATTCAAGATCCTCATCCTCACCTACAAGGCCATTCACGGCCTTGCTCCCTCCTACCTCTCCGACCTGCTATCCCCCTACTTACCCACCCGTACAACAACAAGATTCCATTTATTGAGCGCCTTTCACGTCGGGAGGACGTCCCAAGGCGCTGTACAGTTGGGTCAGGACCCGAGCATTGGGGGAAATGGTAAGGGTGAGGGGAGGGAGGGAGCGAGGAGGGGGAAGAGAGTCGAGAGGGGAGCTGAAGGCATGGTCAAAGAGAAAGGTCTTGAGACTGGCCTTGAAGGAGGAAAGGGAGGAGGCAAGGCGAAGGCACTGGGGGATAGAGTTCCAGAGCCTAGGGGCCGTACCCTCCGTTCCTCTGCCTCCGGTCTGCTCCACATCCCCCGCCCCAACCGCCCTACCATCGGTGGCCGGGCCTTCAGCCTCTCAGCCCCTAGGCTCTGGAACTCCATCCCCCAGTGCCTTCGCCTTGCTTCCTCCCTTTCCTCCTTCAAGGCCGGTCTCAAGACCTTTCTCTTCGACCGTGCCTTCAGCTCCCCTCTCGATTCTTTAGCCCCTCCTCGCTCCCTCCCTTCGCTCCCCTCACCTTGACTATTTCCCCCCTGCTCGGATCCTGACCCAACTGTCCAGCGCCTTGGGACGTCCTCCCGACGTGAAAGGCACTCTATAAATGAAATCTTGTTGTTATATAGGAGGGGATAAAGGAGATTGAAAGAACAAGAAAGAGATTAGCTATTATTAGTATTTCTTGTAGGTGGAATTCAAGTATTTAAAGGTTTGGAACATTAAAATGTTCAGACTAATAATTAAAGCAGTGGGGTCTCTCATGCTGACACTTGCAATCTTTTCATGTATTTACGGTGGGATTTCCCACAATAGACTCCACTGGGTAATAATATTCAAGTTGCGTATGTCTGCAGTATGTTTACTGGTTACATTTGTTGTACAGTATTTGTACACAGGGTTTTTATGGTGTGTTGAATTAATAAGAAATGACTTTTCCATGCTATGAAAATTAAAATGCACTTCATCTTGTAAAAATGTGTAATTATAAACCATGTTTCTTAACTCAGAAATATCCGCTGATCTTTGTAAACCAGGAAATTACACACTGTGAAGCAGAAAAATGAACTGCAGTAGTTGGACAATTACATTGAAGCAATTACACTGCAGATTACAACTAGGAAATCAATGGGATTCAAAACTCTCACTCATGGGAAGTGAAATCCTATAGCAAGTAACATTGATGGATTATTTGGAGTGTAAAGCTGCCTTGGTAGCATCAAAAATCATTCATGACTTCAATTCATGGATATTTTCTCCTTGATGATTTTTCTAGCCTTTTATTCTTGCAAATGTTCTCCCATCATCTGATGACGACATTTTCAACTAGCTGGTGTATAGTTCCCCACCACTGCCTCTCCCAAGTGGTTTTGTGTGGTTATTTTCAATGGAGAATGCCAACCAGCTATTCACCTGTAACCTGCATCACAGCAGAGCCCAATTCTGACCTCGCCCAATGTCTATACATGGTCACTTTTCAGCAGGGGAGACATTGAAATAGCAATTGGGAGCAAGAATTCTGACTCTCTCTGGCTCGGATGCTGAGACCAGTGGTTGCAACTCAACCCTTTCCCAGCTAAAGTCTGCTAATTCAGTACAGACTGGGATTTGAACCAACAATCTTCTAATCTGTGTGGTGTAGTGCTGTACTGCGTACCATCTTTTTCTGTCGGCTATTGGACAGCTAAAGGTTTCTTGCTTTTTAAACAAATATGTATTGATTGTGTCCTGGACTCAACCATCTTTCCTAGGAACCTATTCCACTTGTGAATATCGTCTGGGTGAAGAAATACATCCTGGTGTTTGTCCTGAAATAGCCCTTTGAAACTCTGAATCTCCATTCTCTTGTTCTGATGTCTCGGTGCATCTGAACTTGTCCCCAACTTGTCCTGAGTTGACTTTCTCAATCCCATTTAAAAGTTTATATCTCTTTAAGATCTTTAAGCCCCTTTATGCCATGATGACCAGACTTGTGTGCCGTAATCTAGGTTCAACCTGACCAGAGCACTTTACAACTAGACCTCTGGGGATCTTAACTGACTTTAGCATTGCAGGCCAGCACCTTGCTTGCCTTAATTAACACTTATTGTTGCCTCACACTAATTTGGCATGGTGAGCGAATGAATCGACTCACACTCCTAGATCTCTTTCAGCTTCACCCTTGGCAAGTTTCATCACATCCATGGAGTACAGATGCACATTATTTTTACTTCCTATACGCGGTCCCTTGCATGTATCTGTATCAGGTTTACCGTACATCATCCCATGCGATTACTTTTATCAAAACTCTTTTTGTATGATCTTTGTTTCCTCCTCTGAATCCAAGGTTTTTCTCCAACTTGGCGTCATCTGCAAATTTATCTAGCTTACACTGGGTCTGAAATCCAGGTCTGAGGAACAGGAGGGATCCCAGTGCAGTGCAGACCCCTGAGGCACCCTGCTTAATACTCAACCCTAACAACAATAACTTGCATTTATATAGCACCCCTCACACAGGGCAGGGTAGTAGTATCCCAGAGGCCCCCCCCCCCACCATCTCATCAAACTACTCTTTGCTTCCTTCACTTCAACCAATTTCTAATCCAAGTCCATTTCTTGTCATTGACAAATATACAGTTAATTCACTTTACAATCTATTCGGTGAAGCGCTTTAAGACGTCTAGAAGATGTGAAAAGCGCTATATCAAATGCAAGGATTATTATTGCTTCTCTCGTGGTTAAAGAACAAAACGTGCGGAAGAATAAAAAAAAATGGGACATTCGGCGTAGAAGGAAAGCCTATTCTTCCCAAAACATCGTGTACCACTTGCACTATCATCGATTCCTTCTAACTTGAGATGAGTTTGGGGTTCTGTGCCATACATACAAACAGAAGAGAACTCACTGGGACCATCTGCTTTGCTGCATCTCCTGAAATGCAGTTGTTCTGCTGTCTTCAGAAAACCAATCATTAAAGCACAGTATAAGTGTGTCATTTCAGATCTCCCAGGTCTAATTTGCAATATCTTGTACCTCAACTGATGTTTCTGTTCTGAGGCTATTCCTAGAATTGTTGTTCATCTGGAATCGGTTGTGATTATAGTCATTTTTATTGTGCCAAGTGTCTGACTGCAGAACCTAGCAACGTGCACTGCAAAACCATTCGTTATATCACAGGTTTAAAAATCACCAGCCAGTTAATTGAATTTTCTGTTGAGAATGTCTATATCCATTTGTTAAAAAAGACTCGGGGGATGTATTACAATACAGAGCCTCTCACATCGGGAGGGCTTCTCAAAGCACTTGACACCGCTGAGTGGGTGCCTGAGTTGCGGGTTGGGGGGCGGGGGTGGAGGTGAGAGAAAGATGACCAAAGCAAGGGCAAAGAGGAAGTTCTTGACGCGGACTATCAAAGTGGGGAGGTAGACAGAGAGTGAAATTTCAGGGAGCGGTGCCAGGACAGTTGAAAGCTTGTCCAATGGTGGTGGTGAGGTGGATGGGGTGGGGAACAAGAAGCAGGTCAGTGTTGGCGGAGAGAGCTAGGAGCCCACAGAGGTACAGTTGGGGCGAGGCCATGGAGGGATTTAAATGTGGGGATGAGGATTCTCAATTCTCAACTATACAAAACTTACTGATGGTGAAACATTTTCCGTTGCTGTGAGTCTGTAGTGATTAAGTGCTGCCTTCACTTCACCTTGATTCTTCATTAATCCTTCTTGTTGCCTTTTTCTCAGTACAAAGATGCTTTCCTGAAGGCCAACCCTGGTTACAAGTGGTGTCCAACAACAAACAAACCTCTGAAGAGTCCGTCGCCCACTGTTGCAACCAGAAAGAAGCTCTGGACATTCCCAACGGAACCAGCAAAGGATTTTGCCATCACCAAAAGGGTAGTGAAGACAGAGGAGATTCCACATATCAACTTTGCCATGGCAGGTAAGTTGTATGCATTCTAAAAAAAACTTTATGTATTCTTTCAGCAACAACAACTTGCACATATATATAGCGCCCTTCACATGGGGTAGCGTCTTGGAGCGCTTCACAGTGGCGGTGCCTGACAACAGCCAAGGGGCGGTGACCGTAAGCACGATCAAAAAAAGAAGGTCTTTAGGTGGGAGTTGAAGGTGGGGAGAGAGGGGGCAAGGCAGAGGGATTGAGGGAGAGAGTTCCAGAGTTTCAGGGCGTAGTGGCTGAAGGCACAGCCACTGCTGCTGGAGGGGAGAGCACAAGGGACAATTAGGAGGCCGGAGGCAGCGGGTGGTGGAGTTGTGGGTGAGCAGGTCGGATAGGTAGGGAGGTGCGAGGGAATGAAGTGATTTCAGGACTTTGATTCCTTCTTTAACGTAAAAAAGAATTTACTTCCTTCCCAATTTCCCAAATCTATCCTTCCCTTTTTCTGGGGATGACAATTGGGCTGCTCTCTCTCAACTGGGATTTTAAGCCCCAAGTGGCTATCTAGAAAGTGATTTCCCCACTTTGATTTCACCCTTGTTGCTTCCCTCTAGTTGGACTTGCTGTAGAGCTGCCAATCAAATGGAGAAAAAAGTAAAACTGAAGTGTCACTAGAAATTTGCTCTTCCAGTTTGCTCTTCCCTTATCTGCCCTAATCCTGAAGATGAAGAGCAGATAGGGGAACTGGGCTACACTTCCATAATAATAATAATCCTTGCATTTGATATAGTGCCTCTTCTAGACGTCGCAAAAGCGCTTCGCAGAATATACTGAAAAGTTGAATTGACAGTACGTTTTGTGGGTGAAACGTGGCAGCCAACTGAGCACAACAGTGTCCCCCAAACAGTCATAGACTAAGTGACCAATTTTTTTTAAAAGGAATTATTACTCCCGGGAAAGCAATCTGCCAATCGACTAACAACTGGGTTCCTACTTACTGCTAGTAAACAGGCGTGTGTAGTAAGGAAACTTGCCCAAGGTTTTGGCCTGACAGGAATTGAACCCAGGTCTCTCGCTTGTGAGGCAAGCGTTCAACTACCTAGGCTACAGGACTCCAATGGGCACTTTATGCCAAAATTGACCTTTCTTCATGTTCAAAAAAAAAACTTGTGTTCAGTATAAACACTGGCATGGACTGGTTGGGCTAAGTGGCCTGTTTCCATGCTGTACAATCTTTGCCTCGCTTCCTCCCTTGCCTCCTTCAAGACTCATCTCAAGACCCTCCTCTTTGACCGTACCTTCGGTCACCCTCCTACCCCTACGCTCCCCGCTCTCCATCGCTCCCGATCCCAACCACCAGCTCAGATGCAGATCCTTGACTGTCCAGCACCTTGGGACGTCAACCTGACGTGAAAGGCGCTATACAAATGTAACTTCTTGTAAAGAACCTGGCAGGTCAGATAACCCAAAGGGCTGGGCATTAGAGCCAAGACCTATCTTAACCTCACCTGATATATGGGCACTTTCTAGCAGGATAGCAATCAGTAATGGGTGCTCTGGCTGAGTTCCAAGCTTGGAACATGAAAGCCAGTTGCCTGTGCCCACTCCCAATACCCCCGTGCTGATCTGCTAACTCAGCCTAAATATGGAAACAAATCTCGGAGCCTCCTACGTTTATTGATTCTAAACAATGTGTTCGGGCACTGCCCATGTTAAACGTTTTAGTGTTAAGTTTGTACGATGGTGACTAACTCACAACAGTCATTGTTGATAACTTTGTGACCTCCTGAAATGTGTGTGGCTGGGCAGTACAATTGATGACTTCAGGAAAAAAAACCACATACAAATCTCTCTTTGTTGTTAGATCCCACACAGATGGGAGGACTAAGCATGCTGCTCTTAGCAGGAGAACATGCCTTGACAACCAGAGAGGTAAGCTCATATCACACACAATGCCATTGTATCCCTTCAGGTTGTGTGGTGAAGACTATTTGTTATTGCTGTACTTTACGTAAGTACTGCATCATCTGCACCATGACACTATCATTGTTGCACTAGTTCTGCCTTTTACTCAGCAACTTACAAATACTGTGAGTTATGGAATTGAACAAAGTGAACCTGGGTGCTAATCTTCAGCAGCAAAAGTGTTAAGAGAAATTCTGTATTTCACGTACTCCTCTATACCTCTCAAAATTAAAACAAAGTCACAGTGAAAATGTTAAGATATCCTTGTGTTGGTCAATGCTTTTTCTTTCCAATGACAGCAGTGCAGGAGTGATGCTGATGAAAATGTTTGGGATTTGTTTTTTTGTGCTCAACGTGTTTTTCAAAGGAACCTACTTCCAGGGTAGGAAGGGTGTTTTCTCTCTTACGTCAAATCAAGCAGGTTCACTTCTATCCACACAGAAAGCTCGGCGAGTCAAGCAAGATTCAGGATATGGATGTAGCCGCAAATGCTAAGTAGCTCAACCACTTTGTGGTACCGTATACGTGGTTAACTCGTATAGTCCCTGTAACTGACCCTTTTTGCACATTGTTCCCTTGCATTTTCTCCGCCAACAGCAAGAAGGTTGTAACAAATCAGAAAAATACTCCACCTCTCTTAGCGGTGATCAGTGAGCACTATTGTATTAGCTGAGCTAAAGTTTGGAACTTTCTCTGCTATCATTAAACATGATTGGTGTGAGAAAGGTACATTGGGATCTGGGCCCTTATTGTTTGCCTACATGTTTTCATTGGTTTCAGTGTTTTGCTGGCAATTTCATTGGCTAGCCATCTCATCCACCACCAAGCATTTGCCAGCCATATACTTGTAATTTTGGCACGAGTCTGCATTTACCCACTAGCAAATGGATGTGGTACATTTCATCGTGCAGGAGTATTACTGTTTACCTCAGGTTCCACTTGCATTACTGGAATTGCTCTGGCAGATCAATTAAACCGGCAAGAAATTTCAAATCACGCCCTTGACTAAGACTGCAAACTCTTTGAGGAATTAATTAACTTAAGACCAATGATTAAGCACCCAAAACTTAAATAGTTAAATAGTTTTTTGTTCTTTTGGTCAAATTGGTCACCGCTTGAAATAAAAGGATGAATTGTTCCTCCTTCCTCCTCCTCCCTCCTCCTCCCTCCCCCCCAAGTAATTGTTAGAGCAGAGGAAAGACGAACGTAGTTTAGCTGTAACTGACATTTTTTTTTTCTCTTCTTCCTTCACACAGATTTCCTCCAGCACAACACAGTCAGGGGTTCATGACTCTACAAAGCAGTGTGGGAATTCGGCATTGTTTCAGTTAGCAGAGGTATGCTTCCTGAGACTGGAATGCTAACCAAAATAGAATACAATTTGTACTACTAGTGACGATTCTGGGCCTGGCTTGCAACTTGCATAAGCCACGACTGGAACTATTGATTGAGGCTGCTAGAAAGTGGTGTGCGTGTGTTTTTATGTATAGAGTAGGGTGGGTAGTAATTAATTTCAGAAAGGCAGGCATTCCTGAACAAGTGAGCACTGATCTCTTACCGGGGGTGAGGAATAGAACCCATGGAAGTTCTTTAATTCCCCCTGACTGTGCATTCAGTAGGGTTATGTATTGAAGGTCATTCTGGTGAAAGATAGTCAAAATCAGATTGCGAGAAGTTAAATGCCCCGTTGAAGAGGCAGTCTGTTCAGTCCATTGATATGGACCAAAGCTTCATGGTATCCGAGGTGCAAGTCTGCAAATTAAAATAGGCAGGTTCTGACACAAGGATGTAATTATCAGAAAGTTCATGAGGATTTGTGTACTTGTGTACATTAAGTAACTTAGCAACTGTGGTTTACAGAAAAATAAAACACACTGAGTGCGTAACCCACACCCCTTTTGAAGCTCAAGGGCTGTAAGTTCCCTATCACTTAACGGTCACCATTTCAGTGTCTGATATCAGTCAATAAATGTACATTTCTCAGGAGAAGGAAAACCCCAGCTCGTAAATCATGATCATCCAAGAATGGATTGAATTAAAATGGAAAACATTCTACAATAACCTGCACTGGTAGTTAGCAAGCTGTTAGGCTGCATTTATATTAAATGGTCTGCTTAGCTCCTAAAACCAACTGCCCCTTAACCACACCACTTTCGGAAATATATATACTGACAGTATTAGCTGATGCTCTTGGCTCAGATTGTGGCTAAACAATTGCTAAACAGATGCAATGGGGGAATGCTGTCCGGCTTCCCGCAGGAGGCCCTTTACAACCTGATATACTTACACCGCAATTCCAACCTGTGAACACAAGGGCGTGAAATGAGCAGGTTCTGTCCAGTGCGTGAGCCAAATCCAAACTGCTGGAGCTGCTGCTCTCTTCTCTCACTCCATAGTAAATTAGCATCTCACTCAGCAGCATATTTCATTGAGCCATTAATTCATCGTTTCCCTCTTAGGGTGAACCACACCTGCCAATTCTCTTGTTTTGTCTCCGCTCTGGTCTGGTCTGCCGAAGTTTAGATAAACATGCATTGTTACCCATCACTGGATCATTTTGCGGCAAGACTTTGTTTCCTTTTCTCTGTGTGTCGGTTCCGAAGGTAGGAATAAAAATACATTCTCGTGGTGAATGCTGTTATTACCACCCATAACGCAGCTTAAGAGTCTGTGTAACAGGTATAAGATGTAACCAACGCTCTGCCATAATTTTAAGTTGCAATGATGATTCCTTTCCAGGGCAGTGATCTGGGGACACTACTTAAAACTGCTGTTCTTTGCTACAGATGTGTTCGGACCGGTTGGTGACGGAGGGAGTAAAACCCGAGCCTTCGGCGGGCAGTCCGGAGGAGCGGAGCACGACCGAGGTCCCCATCGTTAATTCTGCAGTGGGCACAAAGGAGAACTGCGAGGTCAAGCCTCAGGACTGGAACGCTAACGACAGGCCGGCGTTTTCGTTAAGCGACGCTCCTCCTTCTTCTCCTTCGCCCAGACTCGTCAAAATCGAAAAGATTAAGAAGAAGAAGAAGAAAAAAGTTAAGCTCGAATCCACCAAAGATGAAAAACTGGCAGTCAAAAAGAGTGGGAAAAAGCGGAAATCTTCAGAGTCTGACATGGAGAGTTTGATGTACACCATTGACGCTGTTGCTAAGGGAGACTGGGGCACTGGGAAACCTTCGGTCAGCCCGCTAACAAGTGTCCGATCCCCAACAAAGGTGGCCGATAACCTCTTGTGGCCTGCGCTCAGCCCACCAAAGAAAAAAATGAAACCAAAACAGATAAAACTAATCACAGAGAAGGTTTCAGAACTCAACAAACATTCAAAGGCCTCTGAAGTTGAGAAAGTTAGCACCACCACCACCACCACCACCAGTCCCGTGGAGAACATCAGAACGGAACCTTTGCCTAGCCCAGAGCAGATACTTTGCCGGGACGCACTAGTTCAAGTGAAAACTGAGAGCAAGGAAATTGGTAAAAAGATGGAGCCTTCCGGGTCCCGGAAATCTGAACGGTCGTGCAAAGGGGCTCTTTATAAGACTTTGGTGTCAGAAGGCATGCTGACCTCTTTACGAGCTAATGTCGATAGAGGTAGGTGCACGTGAGATGATGGAGTTATAAAGGAAGCGCTTTTAACTAACGGGTTTAACTTTGGTAGCACATATTGGGCGGTTGGGGAAGGGGGTCACTCTGGCCCAGGGCCAGACAGTTACCCTCAGTGTCTAGCTAAATAGTGATTACTTAAATGTTTTTGCGAGCTAGAAAAAATGCCAGGACCCACCAAGTAGCTTGTGATTGACACCGAAGTCGTAATTTGTGATATTTCTCAATGGGATTCCTTGGAAACAAATCCTGTTAGAATTCCCATCAACCCAAGGGAATTCCTCTACCCCGGAAGTAGATCACAACAGAGTGGAGTTACAATGAGTCGCTGTGACGTACTTCTTGTTACCGTAAGGCATCCATGTTTGCGTGATAAAGAATTTGTATTCAGAAATCCTGTTAAGAAATACTGCAAGTTAGATTTAGCTGTGCTTAATCCTCTGTCTCCAATCCTCTGCTAAATATTCTGTTTTGCCTCTGCTTCTGCCCATCATCCTTCATATCTTGTTGCAGCTCTTTGATTGACGGATCAGCTCCTTGTCTGTACCAAAGTTGTGTCCGATCCATTTCTTCTGGTTAGAATTTCAATTGTTTTCCAACAAGAAACTATTCTTCTTTGTCTTCCCAACCCTTTCTCCCTCAATCTATCCAGAGCATCTTCCTTCAGTCAAAAAATTAGTTAAGTGGCCATAGAAGGAAATGTCCAATAATATTTTTAACTCTTAGACCTTTACAATGAATGTATTGTTTGATACTTTCAATTGACATGTTGCACCAGGATTTATGTGTGTCTGCAGGGGTATTTCTTACTCTTGTTGCCTTACAATTTAAAATGTGAAAATGCTAAGCTCTCTTCTGTTTACATCTTTACTAATTGACAGTGGTATCTGCAAACGTGGATTCAGTTGAACCATCACAAGTGTGAGAGTGGGCACAAGAGAGGCAATAGGGGCTGACCAGCCACCTCCTGAAAGTGCTGAAATTTTCTATGGTTTTATGATAAATCCACATTGCAAACTCATAATTTTATTTAAGATATCTTGAGCAAGGGCAAGGGTGCTTTCCACAGTGAATGGGAAGATTAATGTTGTTGTACAACTGAGCAATGTGGGGCTCGAGTATGTTTTTGAGCTCTTAATAAGGGCAGAAGGGAGCAAAACCACATCCTAGAAATGTAGGGAAAAGGGAGTTGAAGAATGATTTATAGGCAGATAACCTTCATATTATGTTCAAATTGCAAATAGCTCTAGTTGGCAAAAAAATGCATGTTTGTCATATCAGCATGTCTCAGTTTTCATATGCAGGCGTGTTCATGCACGCATGTACAGTATTTACCAGAAAATAGTGATCCATATATGATGCGCATGGTGTCTGTCCTCTGCCCTAGATCCATGTGTTTCAAGTTAAAATTTACCATCTGCTCTCAGTCTATGGTTTTGTCAGCTTTGAGATGTGCTTTTTTTTAAAAGAAAAAAAAACATATTACGGTTGGTCCAGATGGTATTTTCCTTTCACTAAATATAGCAATAATGCTGCAATCTTTACTGCCAGAACTCGGTTTGTTCTGCTTCAGGCAACATTGATGGCCTTTAGTCCGGATCATTTCTGCAGGGAGTGTCTGACCGCATCTGATCACAGTGTGAACTTGGATCAATTGACATAATATTTTTTTTTGTGTGTGTGTGTGTGTGTTAAAATGAATGCTTTCTGCATTAGAAAAAAATGCTTTTGAAATGGTATCTCATTATATTAAACCTTTAATTGAGCTCTTTCATAACAGGCTTGGGACTTTGCCAGCTTTCACTTCACAGCAGGAACCGCACTGACAACAGGCCATAAATGTCTGATTAAAACAGCGGGTTCAGTTTCCGCTGGCAAAATGCATTAGCTTCAGCCACATTTGCAATTGACGTGTTGCACCTGAAATCTTGAGTGTCTTCAAGGATATTCCTAACCACAGAAAAGTCACATATATTAAGTGGGCAGAAATCAAGCAGGGATCTTAAACCATTTTCTATTTACATCTGTTATAAGCCATCCTGCTAAATGGTAATGGTAGCTGTTAACTGCTGCTCATTAACGATTTGATTACACTCTTTTTTAATGTGCACGGGTCAAAAATTGAACACATTCATCTTTTGCTTAATACATTGAATTTGCTTGTAATAGTCTTTCTGTGTTCCAGTAATGGCACGAAAAGATTATGATGCTATTTGACTCTGACAAAACCTTTGCATTCATTCAGGATCGGACTTCAGGCAGTTTCCAAAATTGTATCTTGCTACTTCAAAATAAATAGTTATGAGCTTTCTGTTAAACCTATTAACCTCTGTTAGAGAAGGGCGTTTCTCCCGGTGGTCGCCAACAATCTCCCAAATAAGATTAGTTATTCATTTCATGGCTGTTCTTCAAACATTGCTGTGCACAAATTGGCTGCTACATTTGCCAGCAAAAATATAGTCACTCATCTTTATGATAAAATCCTGTGATACGCTTTGAGATATCCCCCTGACGTGAAAGGCCCTATACCTACAATAATTCTTGCAATTGCTGTAGCATCTCATCATGTCGTTGAGACATCCTAAATCGCTTCACAGGATATACTGTAAAGTGTAGTGACTGTATTATAACCTTGGCTCGTGCTGTAGTTTCAGGCAGGATATTGAAACTAAGAGCAACAACACTATTTCAGCAAAATCTGGAGTGAGAGTAATTTATAAAGCAGAATTCTGCAAATCTCATGAATGGCAGCTTGAGCAACTCCTACATGAATGCAAACCAGACTTTCAGAATGTTTTATTTTGTCATTTAAACATTTGGTCTTTAAAGGAAGAAAACTGTTGTTGGTCAACTTCCACATACAAATAGAATGCTCCAAAAATAATAAACATCGCACTTGATATCATGCCTTTCACGCCTGGAGGATGTCTGAAAGTGCTTCAAGATTTGTTGTAAAGTGCAGTGACTGTGTATTTGTAGGTAAAAGCGACAGCCAATTTGCGCACAGCTAGATCCCTCAAAAAGCCTTGAAGTGAATGACCAATTTTATCCGGAGAAACTACCTTCTGCTGTTAATCCACAGAGTGTACTGTTCCACTGTAAATAAATACTTGTCTGGTTCATTTATTTCCCCTTCGTCTTAAATCAGAAAATGCTCATTGTTCCTGCAGTTTGCAGTTTCTGCAGTCTGTAATGCTGTACACTGTCCAGCGCTTTGGGACGTCCTCCTGACGTGAAAGGCGCTATACAAATGTAATCTTGTTGTTGTTGTTGTTTATTCTTTCCACGCCAGGCTTAATCACTTCAATTTTGGCGAACCGCACTTGGCTTCTGGGTGGTGCTAGTGCCTGCTTTCAAAATCTGTATCAAATTTTCGTCCAAGGGACTGACTCATACAACACATTTTTTTTCTCTGCCTGTCCTTTGGGTTGCATGAATTCTAGGGTGTGAAGCACATTCTAACCTCAGCGCAGAGACTTGACATGAACTAATTCATGAAAATGAGGTCCTGTTTATTACACCGTCAGTATTCAATTCTTAGATTCCGGTTTAGTGAGGAAAGCATCCTTCCAATCCCAGGTAAGATAGGGGATTTATAATAAAATAAAACGTCTCAGGAATGGGTAGGCATTTGCTAAGCCACTTTCTGTATCAACTTGGATGGTTATGATAAGAGCAGTGCTGTCCTCTGAGACCAAAATAACTTGCCCATCATTGGTCATCAAGGTCAGCTGCTGTTTGGCTCTATTTGTGATTACAATGTCTTTGGCGTTGAGTTGATTTCATGATGTTCATCAGTATAGTCTTCAACAACATCTGAAATGAATTCTTGACATTAAATTAATTTGTTGATCCAAGTCAACTTATACTTGGTAAGAAGTATTCCAGTCATTGACGACGTAAAAGGCGCTATACAAATGTAATTTTGTTGTTGTTGTACCGACCCCACCAGGAAGTCTCCTGGAAGATGCCACTTAAGGCACCATCAAAGGAACTATCTTTCCTTCCTGGCACAGCCCTGGGCTAAGAAGGGATATTCTGTGGAGCTTTAACATTCAGTGCTAGTGGAACCTAGAGTGTCTTTAATATTGCCCAATGCGATGTGCAAAACTGATAAACTCTGACCAACTCTTGCAGGGCCAGTGGGTAGTTTAGAGGTTGACAGAAAATATTCTTTTTGCATTCTTCGAAGATGAGTAAGGATCCCCTCCCCTTCCAGGAGTTACCTCAACCAGCTGTACTGCTGACTGCTCACATCGATGAACGTATTCTAAGCTTTGCTTCTTGTTGTGAGTCCCATTGGAAGTGCATTCAGGTGCAGTAAAGATTTCATTAGAAGCGTCCTGTGTACCAGAATATTCTATAGGAAAGCCACAATTTCTCACCACAGGGAAAGTCCACAGGGAAAGTATTGAGTATTGAGTTGTAAGGATGTGGAGTCCTGTAGCTCAATGGTTAGAGCACTCGCCTTGCAAGCATGAGACCTGGCAGGGTGAAATGTTGGCCAAGTTTTCTTACTCCACATGCCTCCGTTTACCTAGCAGTAAGTAAGAACCCGGTTGTTAGTCGATTAGTGGATCGCTTTTCCGAAGATAATAATCCCTTTAAAAAAATAATAAATTGGTCACTTCAATCCACGACCGTTTGTGGGACGCTGCTATGCGCAATTGGCTGTCGCGTTTCGCCCATAAAATATACAGTCAATTCACTTTACAGTATATTCCGTGAAGCGCTTTGCAACATCTCGAAGACATGATATGGTGCTATATCACATGCAAGGATTATTATTATTATATTTCTCTACTTCAAGTGATTATATTTGAAATAAAAAAAGTACTCCCTCTAGACTTTCACCCGCCGCTTACTAAATTGTTTGAGAACTGCAAATCTGCATGTACACAGTTTTTTATTTAGCAAAGAGGATCAAGGGGCATTGGTGCTTCTGCCAGCTTTTGTGTAAGAATGTAAAGAAAAAAGAAACATTTTCTTATTGTCTTACGTTTAACAGAAAGGTCACTCGCCACTAAAATGTGTAAAACTTTCATTCACGTGTTCATATGAGTGAAGGTTTAATCATTCACAGAGGGGGCTACCGTAAGCTCGCTCACCGTTACAAATAGCGCTCGTTTCATTAGGTGCTTGTAATGTGAATGGCACCATCAGGTGTAACACAAAATAAAAAGATTGCTGTAATCAGCGAAAGGTGTATATCAGAATGCATTTGGGTCTAATGCACTTGCATTCTTATCGAATGTTAGTGTGTTGCAACCAACTGATGGCATCATTGCAACAGGAAGAATTCATGATAAGTTACTTGTTGGATCTTGGAGCAACAACAACTGAGGGGGGAGTTGGCTCGGAGGCGCAGTCAAAAAACCTGGAGCGAGCGATCAGCGGGGTCTGGAGGGGGCTAGAGGAGACAGCGTCAGGGGGAGAGAGGGGGAATAGCACTCATAGTCTTATTTATTGGGTTAGACAGAGCCCCAGCCTAATAAATAAGGGTATGAGAGAGAGAGAGGAATGAGAGAAGGACAGAGATTTCAGAGAGAAGATATGAAGATCTTTGGGGCGTCCTCCTTGACACTGGAGCACTTGACAATGGCTGAGCTTGATCCCGAGCAGGGGAGAAAATGGAGGTGACCGCAGGCACCTTAGAAGAGGAAGGGCAAAGAGGGAACATTGGCAGAGGTCTTGAGGCAGGGAGTTTCAGAGCATACTATCTGAAAGAATAGTGCCAATGGTGGAAGCGGAGGGGACGAGGGCATGCAGGAGGCATTATTTTTGTGGGGGAGTGGGGAGAAGGGTTATACTTTTCATCCGCTGTGTAAAACTTGCTCACTAATTGAGTTAGTGAGTGGATATTTGATTCATTGTTTTAGTCAGGCACGGTTTTGCTTTTGGAAAACCTAAGACGTTAAAAACTGTGTCTGGTATACATACCGAGGAGATGTGCTTCTCTGTCAGAAATGGAATCTATCTTGACTTAACATTGTACCTATAATGCGTTTAGGTAAGAAGGCCTCAGGGAAAGGGGGCTCCTCTGACCACGAAGGATGCTGGAAGGAGGATGATTGGCCATTTTCACACGCTGGGACCAGTGGAACCAAGAAGTTGAAAAAATTTAAACTGAAAGACGAATCTGTTCTCCGGTAAGCTATTGCTGGAACTCTCTTTATCCACCCCATCCCCTTCACCTCCTATCTCCACCCCTGATAGGAATCCCACCTGGGAGCTGTGAAACTACTCCAGGATCTGCCTCGCCAAAGGCCCAAATAACTTACGGTCTTAGCCTTAGACCCGTTATCTTAAAGATCTCAAATTTGGTCTGTTCTCCGCAAGTACCGCAGAAAACCAGCTGGGAAATCAAGGCTGAATTTAAGGCATTTCCAAAATTCTACACAATCCTAAGTTTCAAGACAAGAGTCTCGGAGGTGAGGCCAAAGAAATTTGAGGCTTGGGTATCCATGCATATATACCTACCCGTAATGCAATGTTGTGTTGACAAGTACTTCACGTTGATGAGATGTGTATTGCCTTGCTCAATCCCAAAGACACCCAATTCACTCCCTTCCCAGCCAGGTCCTCTTTCCCCATGCTTTTATTTTTAGTTAAAGTTCCTTTTATATAAATCTTGATCGTTTTCACTCTTTTGCTAAATATTCTTCAAGCTGCAAACCAAAATTTTGAAACATGGTTCACAAAGGGAGGCTTCATTCGCTATAAACATTGTCCTCATCCTCATACTTCACACTCTTAACATTGGCGCAGCGACATGACCTTGAAACTGTTTTTTATACTCCTCCCAAACCCTCCTATTCCCTTCTCCCTCATGTATGCATCAAGTTTCCTCCTGCCCCAGCACATTTAATTTGGAAACTGAAATGGAAACTTGGGCAAGAAACCTGCTGCTTTATCTTTGACTCTCCTTCCACCCCCCCCTCCCCCCTCCCACCCAAGAATTTCAGAACTCTCTTGTTATCTTTCCAGTTTAGGGAATCTGGAGCAGGAGTTCGAAAAGAAATTTAACAGCCTTCCCCAATACAGCCCGGTAACCTTTGACCGCAAGCACACGACGTCCACAAGGAAAAAGAAAAAGAACAGGAGTGTGGCCATTGAGCATCAGAAATCTGATAAAGGTAAAAAAAAACAAGGATGTTACATACTTAAGCAGTATTGTAATTTTTTGAATATATAACCTACAATCTTTATATCCCTCCTCCTCACCGGTCTCCCCGGCTCCACTATCCACAAAATCCAGTTAATCCAAAACTTTGCCGCCCTAATACTCGCCTGCGCTATACTCCGTACCTCCATCACACCAGTTTTGCCAAGCTTCATTTGCTCTCTATTACTGAACGGATCGATTTCAAGTGTACGTAAGGGACAGTATATAACTTAAGTTGTTGTATTTGCATATCTCAGACCTGCCTTACAGGAGAGCTGTGCTTCTGGAATTGGATTAGGTTGGAGAAAGGCAGTTTTATCGGTTTCCTGCCTTGACGTGGGATGTGGCTTTCTGCTGACATTCTCGCTGTGCGAGCTGTTAGCAAGTGGCAACTATATTCCACTAGGCTCAGTGCGAGCGAAAAGGATTATTTAAATAAACCTGGTGTGCTTTTAATAGAACCCGTGTGCCTGTGCTGTAGAATATGGGGTAAGCTGCCTCACAAGGGGCCTGTCAACTAAAAGGATTCAGGATTATTCGATTTGAATGCAGTTGAAGGAATCTAATGGGAAATGAATGGGTAAGTAAGGTAGGCCAAAGGTGCATTCCTGCCTGATGTTTTGCTATATTACTATAGAACTATACAATACTGCAGCTTACAGATACATTATCACAAGTGAAGCACTTTGAGATATTTCAGCATAATGAGGCGCTATATCGAATACAAGGTTTATTATTATTAATAGGAAAAGTAAAAGTTAACACCAGCAATAGACAGACTAATCGTGACAACAGCAACAGAATGTATATAGCATACTTCACGCAGGGGAGCGTTACGGAGATGAGCTGACCATGACTGAAAGGAGGAGAGAAAATATAAATGGACAGAATTGTATTTTCTTTACCTGCTGCAGAATTAAAATTAATCTTTTACCCTATGGTTGTAAAATTAGAATTTCAATTATTTCCTCTTGGGAGTTGCGTGTTATGGGGAGAAGGTTTTTTATTTATTTATTATTTCGCCCACAGAATACACAGTTAATTCACTTTACAATATATTTTGTGAAATACTTTGAGATGTCTCAAAGACGTGTTAAGGCGCTTTATCAAATGCAAAGATTATTATTATAATTAAGGTTGTGTAGCCGGTTTCTGGTTGCTAAGTGTTCCTTGTGTGCCATTTATATAAAAAATTGGTCACTCAATCCACGACTGTTTGTAGGACTCTGCTGTGGCTGCCATGTTTCACCCACAAAATATACAGTCAGTTCACTTTACAGTATATTCCTTGAAGTGCTTTGAGACTTCTCGAAGATGTGATAGGCGCAATATCAAATGCAAGGATTATTATTGTTTTTAAGTAATTGTGTTCCTGAACACAGTATGTAGTGGAGGTCCCTGGGCTGCTGGAATAATGCCAGATCACCACAAAGGGGCCACACTGACATAGATATTACCTATTGAGAGGATTTGCAGGATCTGTAAAAGAAATCTCATGCATTGAAAATGTGTGGAACCAGATGCTGTTGTTGCTGACCTCTTTTTGAGTATCAGGAACCTCCTTTTGCCGCAATCCAACTTTAAGGAAGTGAAATTAGTGCGTGAGCAGAGTTCAGGCGAGTCGGCTTGAGCCAAATGGCAGTACAGTGAAGGATTCAATACCAGTGAATACTTTGCAAATTATCCCAGTTATTAAATGGTAAAAATAATATTGCGGGCAATGGAATGCCTATGACAATACAAGGAGCTCTGCAGTAAAAACACTTAGAGGGGAGATGTTATCCCAGTGGTGACTGCTTTGTATTCCATCACTCAACACAAGTGTTTAAGAGATGTTGCTTTTCAAGAAGTTCAAAGTCAAAAGGCTAAACTTTGCACCTGGCTACTTGTTACCATCACCCACCCATTAATCCTAGAAAGAAAGCGAGCAGGCGGACTGACAGTGATCAGTGTGCTAGCACTAATATAGGTACTATAATACATTATATATACCTCTATCTTCATTCTCCATTAGTGTGGGCAGTTCAGTCTTATCTGTTGGCTCATCCAACCCATTTGGATGAAAGACAATTATCGTTTCCTTTTTATATTTTTATTCTTCTTTAGGATCATCTCCATCTCAGAAAAAGGCCTTATTCCACAGCATAGTCAGCAAGTATAAGCACAAAATGGAGACACAACACTTACCTGATGAAGGTACCAATACAGTCTGATTTTACGGTTGTTAGAGCCATTTTGGGGGGTGGGGGGGGAAAGAAGATGGAGCTTCTATCTCTGAGCGTAGACCTAATAGACCGAATAACGTATTTCTGTCCTGTGACTTTCCTGTAATGTTCGAACAGTTGTAACATTTGCTTACAAAATACACAGTCACTACACACTACAATTCTGTGTAGCAATTTGGGACAACTTCCTGACATGAAATTCAAGGATTATTATATAACTGTACAGATGTTCACATTACAAATCATCCATACAGATCTGCACACCGCAAGCTTCACTGTCGCCAAAGGATGTTTTGCACAGCACGTGCATTAAGTGTGTACATGATAACCTTAGAATCCCCGCAGACCACTATTCTGTTGTGATGTAGCTGTCTATTAGAATAAAATAAAACTCCTGCTAATTTTGTCTGGTTAATAATAAATTACGATAATTGCAACACGAGTTAGAGTGATTTTGAAGTGGGGCAGTCAGTGGATTGCTGCAATGAATTTCAAAAGCTAGTTACATTAGTTGTATCTCGCAAAACTGCCCTTATGATTGAGACTGATAAGTGGCACTTAAGACAAAATACAGCCGATTATACCATTTACAAGATATAATAATAATCATAATAAAAATAATAATCCTTGCATTTGATATAGCACCTTATCACATCTTCAAGGCGTGATGAGTTTGGTAAGCTCGCTCTTTCAGAAAACTAATAGATAAATATTGCACTGTTGAAATTCATTAGCTAGTATATTGTGCCCCAAGGCATTCATGTGGCTTAGTCCCTGAATCTTATGCCTCTCCATGATAATACAAGTCTATTGGGGATCCATTCTAACGACTGAGGCAAGGCCTCAGAATCAGTACTTTTCAATACTTAAAACTGACATTTTCAGTAATACCATACTCTCCAGTGGGTTATAATAGTCATGTAATGTCTAGTCTTATTTTCCTGCTCGCTGTCCACCACTATATTTGTCAAGTACTTTGAGACATTCATTGGCTCGAAAGGCGTTATAGGAATGCAACTTGGTATAATTTGCCAAAATTAAGTGCTTTGGACAAGAGTCCACTTAACCATTCATTCAGTCTAAGCAAAACTAGCATAAAATTCTGAGTAATGTCAGATAGTTCACCTCCAGTTTAAGTTTGATTATATTTACTGTATTAAGCACTGACTTTTAAACATATATATTATCTTTTTGTCCACAAAATATAGTCAATTCACTTTACAGTATATTCTGTGAAGAATTCTTGAGCTGTCTCAAAGACATGATAAGGCGCTATATCAAATGCAAGGATTGTTATTATTATTATTACCTTTGGGTAAGCATAAGCACATGAGAATTCTAGGTGTGGATCAGGTATGTCCTCACCTGGAGTCAGCTATACCATGGCCTCAGCTATCATATATAACATTTATGACACTTCCTTTTTCCCCTCCTTTCTGCCCCCCTTCCTCACTCCCCCCTCTTCCCCACCCAGCTCCAGCAGCCAGAACCATTTTGCCCCGCGGAGTATTTGCTCATCGTAGTCTATCCTAACCTCCAGATCTGTTCTTGAAACTCATTTTTGTATTAACAGTGAATAGAAGTTTTTTTTTTGCACTTTGTAGCAGAAGAGACCATCTCTTGCAAGTGACAGTAGGTTCCAACAAGTGCTCTTCACTACCCACTTATTGCAGTACCTGTATGACCCACATTCGTGATAAAAATCTAATGGTGTTAGATCCAGTGTGTTTGTGTGTGCACGCACGTTTGTGCCCCAAATGGACAAGTTGGGAAGTTGGAACAAGGAACAAAAAACGTTGGAAGAAAAAATATTTTTTGTAGGAATTTATTGTAGACAAAGGAAGTTAAGTAGAAATTCCCTTGCTTCCTGCTGACTGCTGTATTTTATGATGGATTTGTTAGAAAGCGCGGTCACATCTGTAAAGAATGTGGTTCTTGGACTATTGAATTTGTATCCTTTTTTCCATTATGCATAGGACACTTTTTAAAATATATTTGTTAAAATTTAATTTCTAAATGTTTTATTGTCAGTGTTGAATTAAAATTTGTGTTCCCACTGCATACTATTTCTATCTGCCTCAACTATTTGAAAAATAATAGCAATACAGATGGATGCTGGCTGTCAGGTTAAATAATCCGACTGAGTGGAAGACACAGTCATTTGAGAATTGAGGGCTTTTAAATCCTGGAAGTCAAGTAAATGGATGCATGCTGTGCTCTCTAGAGGAAATGACCAAACTTAAGACAGGTGCTTTTTTTTTCGCGAGTTTGTTAATGGATTTCTTTCTCGCCTTTCAGCCATAATATCACAGGATGCAAACACTGCTGAACAGGCTCAGAAAGTGGAGCATGCAACATTAGTTCCGACCAGCCCCGGATCGGGAGTGACGCAAGAACCCCTCGTCGGCAGCCAAAAGCGCAAGGCCAGGAAAACAAAAATAACACACTTAATACGAACAGCCGATGGTCGATTGTCACCTGCAGGGGGTGAGCACACATTGGTGGATGTTTGCACATTCATTTTTATATATATATATAGGTATATATAATGCTGGGAGACAGAGTAGAACGGAGAGTGCTAGAAATTATACTTTCAATTCTCTTGCTGGGCTAGTATGGCAAACGGTTGAATAGGATTGAGATCCACAAGAAAAGTTTACATGCTGCCTTTCTTCTCTGCAAAACATTAAATGCAGAGCATAACCAGAAATATCTAGCAGTCCGCGGTTATGATTGATTCATTTATTTTTTGTCACGTTGAACGTGTCTGTTTTAACATTTCATGTCATAGGTGTCTGCCTTTAAGCACTCTGAGATGCCGTCCGGTGTGGAGGGCGCTATATAAATCCAAGTTGTTATTGTTGTTGTTGCCTGTTCAGGTGGAAGTTAAAGATCCCACGGCACAAGTTGAAAAGAGAAGAGAGTTTCTTCTGGTGTCCTGGCCAACAATCCCTCAAATGCAATCTGTCACAGCACTATGGGAATGAAAGTAATTGTACAAAAACTAGCAAAGTGTTTTTGCCTTTTGAATGAATCATGATCTCCAACCTGTTTTTTCCATTGCGGCAGACGTAACCAAGGCGAAGATGCCATGCAAACAGGAAAAGAAAAAACAGCCATTAAAATCGGATACTTTTGACAGAAGCTCAAAGACTGAGCAGGCGTGCGGTATTTCACCAGAAATGCCAACTGCATCTGCAATCCCAGCATTCCTCAGTTTATCCGCCTTGGCAGAGGTTGCAGCAATGGAGAATGTGCACAGGTAAAGTACCCAGCAGAAGCACCTGCACTGCCACAACCTCAGGGTGAGCAACCACCGAACACAATTTTTTTTAGATCTCAGGAAGACCTCACTACTCGTGAATGATCAAGATTTTCTTTGCAAGTGGACGGAACAATTGGGCTCCATCCACATTGAAGCTCTTTAGTCTTCTACATATGCCAACATTTTTTTTTGGTGGGGACAGAAACATCAAAGAATTCAAGGCCATCCTGGCTGAAAGACTATTCCTACCCATGGGTATTTCCATAGCACCACATGATCAGCCTGAGATGCACTGATAGGCTTGATGCCTGTTCCGTGCTAGTTTAGATGATATTATCAAAGAAGAAACGTATAATTAGTGTCTCTGAGTTAGGGAAGAGAGAATTCTTCCACTCCTGAGTACTTGAAATTTTCCCTTCACGTGAAAGGTGTAATATAAATGTACAATTCTATTGTACTGCCACTACTACTACTAATAATAATCATTGCATTTGATATTACATTGTCAAATCGTCTCAAAACACTTCACAGGATTTACTGTAAAGTATAGTGGCTGTATTTGTAGGTGGCCTATTAGTGACACCTCCTGTGAAGTGCACATGTGGATGCTGGTGGCTGTGGCATTCCCTGGGGTTGAACACACTGCTGATACTGTATTATCTAGTGGAGTTAGAGCACTCGCCTCGCAAACGAGAGACCTGGGTTCAATTCCCAGCAGGGCGAAACGTTGGACCAACTTCCTTACTCCACACGTCTCTGCTTACCTAACAGTAAGCAGCAACCTGGTTGTTAGTCGATTGGCGGATCGTTTTTCCAGGAGTAATAATCCTTAAAAAATAATAATAATAAATTGGTCACTTCAATCCATGACTGTTTGTGCGCTATTGGCTGCCGTGTTTCGCCCACAAAATATACAGTTAATAATAACAACTTGCATTTATATAGTGCTCCTCCCGCAGGATAACGTCCCAGAGAACTTGGTCAATTCACTTTACAGTATATTCTGTGAAGCGCTTTGAGACATCTCAAAGACGCGATGAAGCACTATATCAAATGCAAGGATTATTATTACAATCTACACTTACACTTAAAGAATAGGCACTTAGTTGAAGTACCGCAGAGCTCTTGGCACCTGTAGAGTTTCAGCTTAGACTAGTTTGGAAGAAGAAAGCCCTTCAGCCAATCTGATATCGTTCTTCAAGAATACCCACCCCTACCCATCACAACATCAAGTTGGTTTTTAAATGAATCCAAAATTCTGGCCTCAACCAACATTGTTGGCAACCTATACCTGCTGGCTTCAAACCACCGTTCCTGGCAAGATCACTACATTTCAGGAAGGCAGGGGGAATTAAATTCCTTGGAATAAAATGCACTTGTTGTGACAATTCGCTTATGGGATATGTTTTAGGATTACCAAGTGTTTCTTTTCCTGGTATATTTGGCAACAATATTGTAAATCCTCTCCCTGGGTGGGCATTTAATTCAAACCACTTGCAAGGATTGTTTTCTTGTTCGTAACATGGGTAACAATATATGTTTTGTCACATCAGTTTCAACTTATCCAAAAAAAAGGAAATTATATCTAGTTTCTCTCATCAGTTGCCAAGTGAAATTTGACAAGCTGATTTCTGATTTCACGTGTGCGTGCAGTACTGCTATTGAACGTTTGTAGTACTTGGAGTCCTGTAGTATATTGGTTAGAGCACTCGCCTCATACGTGAGTGGATCCGGGTTCGAATCGCGGGGAAGGTGAAACCTTAGGCAAGTTTCGTTACTCCACATGCCTCTATTTATCTAGCGGTTGTTAGTCAATCGGCAGAGTGCTTTTTGTGGGTGGTAATCCCTTCAAAAAAAATAATAATGATAATTTGCTCACTCAATCCACGACTGTTTGTGGGACATTGCTGCGCCCAATTGGCTGCCGAGTTTCGAGCACAAGATATACAGTCAATTAACTTTACAGTATGTTCTGTGAAGTGCTTTGAGACATCTCAATGATGTGATAAGACGCTATGTCAAATGCAAGGATTATTATAGTATTATGTTATTACATCATACCTGCCACCAGGCGGCATTCATGTTTGGCAATCTTCCAGCATCAAACACATGCAGTGCTCTGATCTAACTTCAATTTGATACCAATTCAGTACCGATTCGCTTAAAGCTATGATCACGGGTGCTTGCATGCTTGCATTTTGTTTGCCGTACAGTGGTGGCGGTTTGGAGAGGTGTCCACCCAGTATTTATTAAATGTGCACAACAGTTATTCGTTAGTTACAGTGTTGTAAGCAGTCTATGGTTTTCGCACCACTATCTTTTTTGGGGGGTGGAACTTTGAAAAAAAAATCCTTGTGCTTTAATCTTTTAAACGTTATTGTTGTCAGGCACACTTCTGTTTTCTGTTTTTTGTTAGGTCTCTTCTTCCTCCTCCCCTCCTCCCCCATATAGACATGTAAAACCTATCTCTATTTTACTTGAAATTTGAGAATTGAGTCAACCTTTATGGCATTCTCTATAGTCGGGTCCCTGAGCCAGGCGGGACCGCGGTACTCCAGCAAACTGCTGATGACAGACCAGGCAGTCTGGCTTCTCCGCTGGCCTTGGAGAGGGAGACTAGTCACTGGGAGCAGGGATTCAACACACTCAGCTTCTGTTAACCCCGCAAGCCAAAGCCCTAACAGTTATGGAGGTCCTTGGTGGACAAGCAGCAGATGGTGCTTTCAATGACAAGCTATGCAGTCTTAGCTGATTAAATTCCAGCAATATCCCCAACGCACACTCCAGGAAAGCCTTGGCTTTTGCCAATCTGCATCTGATACTCTCCGGAATTAAGTAAGCAAGGTGTGTCCCTCTAGAGAGAAAGAGAGAGAGGGAGTGTGCATTCAATTCCAGACACAGGGGAATATCCAAGTGTTAGTGACATACATATTCAGTACTCTCATACTGGTTTGGATGCTCTGACATGTGGATAGGTTTCTGCATGTCAGACACCCGGCTGATCAAAAAAAAACACTTTACTGTACTTCTGTTTTCAATTGAAAGTTTAATATTTCGAATTTGGTGCATGACAATTTAGAAAACTAATAGGATGCTAAAAAGTAATTAAATTGATTAAACCTGTGGCAATGAAGGTAGCCTCTCTGTCAATGGATCTTGCTGTATTCATTCTTATTATTTGCTTTCCTTGACAGAGGCCAGCATGCAGTTACTCTTAACCATGATGGACAGCCAAAGGAAATGGCCCAACAAACCCCAGTACTGATCTCCTGCGCAGACCAATAATACATCGTTATTTTGTATCTCTACAATGGCTCGAAACACAGGAGATTGGTCCATTAGACTCACCATCGACTGCATTGTGGGAATCTTGCCTTCTGTGACTGAGTTCCTTACAAAACAGCTGGAAGGCGCTGACTCGGCAGAATTCCGTGGACAGGCTTGGGAAAGCGAGCGTTGGGGGGAAGAAGAAAAAAACGTTTTACGAAACGGGGCTCAAACTAGTTTCTTCAGCTTTCGTTCCTTCTCTGAAGACGACCTGGTTTAAGAAAAACAAAAGTAAATCGCTGTTACAACAGAATAACTGCCCTTCAAACGTCCTGGCGATTCTGGCAGCTTCACGCCAGGTGATCGGAGTGTTAGCTACTAGAGTTTCCTACAACTTCTAGCTTTTCTCAAGTAACACTGATGCACTGTGCTAGTGACTAGATATTGTCAATCTCTCTCTCTTTTTCTCTCTTCCTCTTTTTTTAAAAAAAGAAACCTATTACGATTTTAGTTTCACAGAGAACTGTTTAATCATGAACTTCTGTCCAGACATGCACACAGAGAGAGAGGATGTGGCAGGAATAAAAGATTGTTGAGAATGCTGCATGATCGACCATCATATTAAGCATCACTTTTCCAACGCCACTGTTTAGTTGAGATTCTCTGTTAATCTCGAGTCGAGCTTTAAATAGCACAATCTGTCTTTGTGTACAGACGGTACCAATTTTTTTTACATAATCTTTGGCTTTCTCTCGCTAAACCTCACTGGCCCTGCGTTGTGGGCCAGTTTACTGGACGTGACTGTTTTCCAATACTGTTAAGATGTGTAAAGTAATTTGCTTATTTTTAAGCAATTAGGCACTAATAGTGGCAGAAATCCTGCAAAGCTTTTTAGGTCCTAACTGTTGCACTGCTGTGTTTTTTACAGTGAATGATTATTATGGTGGTTGTAGGGTTACTAATTCAGCGAATTACTGAGGAGATATTCAGGTTTTTATTTCAGGTTGCAGAAGTATATCAGCACAAAAAAAAATGTCTTCTGTCAGACCAACAGCTAGAATTACCGATGTTTAGTACTGCTTAGCTCGAATGCAAAATCTGTTTCTGCACACAACAATTGCTGATCATGTTACCAGAATGGAACCCGGTTGAGTGGCGAATAGGAGTTACGAGGTAGTTGCACAAATCTGAGGGGCTTGCAAAACAGTCAGCACTCTGAGGGATGCAGTTCTCCTTAGCGCTGTTCAGCGATGTCGTTGCAACACCAATTTGATGTCCGTGAATTATGGTCATTACCTTGACATCAGTCGGTGATCGTGTGAGAGCAAATCTATTTTTCAGGGATCTTACAGGGTTATTCAGTGTATTTGTATATAATGCCCCCTTTTTTATATATAAACAGCACAGAAAGGAGTAGCACGTTGCAATCGTTTCAGAGATGACTTGTTCTCTTACAAGATCATGACTGGAATTCACTAGAAGACGTTTTAAACTAGCAAATGGCACAGTTGCAGTGAAACTTTATCATGGGATCCGACATCTGAAGGTAAAACAAAACTAACTGCTTGAAGCCGATGGCAGTGGAATCCAGGTGGTGAGCACTTGAAATGTTGTGTACCAAATCCAATGATTGTATGAGTTTGCAGTTCAGGTGTAAGTCCCGTTTTCTCTCTCTCTCTCACTCACGGACTCTCACACACACACACACACACAGACATTAACAGTGGGTGGGCAGACATTACACCTGGATCTAGATTTACTCTTAACGTAGCATTTCAGAATCCAGCAGAATTTGTCAATTTCTTTAAATAGAGGGCTTTTATTTTTGAAGGTGGTTTCTTGTGAGTTTCTTATAAGAGCTACAGAAAACAGGGCTTCAAACTTGAAACCAAATTCAACAACTTGCCAACCTCTGCACGCTCTGAAATTCTACATCAAAGGGTAAACCTCGACCTAGCTGGAATTTCTAGCTGCGTCTGTTTCACGAGTTGTGTAAGCCCCTGGGGACTATTTGTGAGATGTTTCATTGGATGTTAATTAAAACCAGAGCACCTGAAATTTCTTCTGTGTATGCACATATTTTCACAACTTGCCCGATAGACCCCACTGAGTGCACTTTGCTAGCAATGTAGCTATAATGGCAGATATTGGAGGGAGGGGAACAATTTGTATGGAATCAGAAACCTTTTGACGCTGGGAGATAAAGTATTACCAACAACATGGTTTCCCTGAGTACATTTAAAGTATGAGCTGTTTCCACTCTAAGATCCGTGAACACCAATTACCACTTGCATATTTATAGCCCTCTTCACTCTCAGAGCACTGTAATATTGAAATATTGAGGTCTGACATACACCAGTCAGCAACATTTGGCAAATCAGCAATTGACACAGGAGAGACCCTGACTATCTGTAATTTTCTTCAGTAAAACATGATGAAAATTATTTTTTATTTGCATTCATCTGGAACTGAATATCAAGCACGCAACTGACGTATATTTATTTGTAGAGAGGGTGCTAAATGACAGCAACAAACTCAGAATTTTCTTTTTGTTACAAGAATGTTCAGTCGTCATAAAATAAACACTTCCGCAAAGGTAATTGTGCCGCTTGGAACAGGATGGTTAATTTGGCGAAAAGGAGGTTGGCAGGTTGACATATAATAATGCTCAGAATCAGGTATGTGTTTTAAATCAGAGGCCACTGAAGCACATCTAGAAGTACAATTCAGGAGTAAAAGCTAACTTTAAAAGTTAAGGCTGGAAGGGGTAATGAATGAACAGTTTGCTCCAAGAGCCAGGGTAAACGCGATGGGCCGAATGGCCTCTCCTGTGCTGCAAACTTCTATGTTTCTATGATTTGCATAACTATATGAGAACCCCATGTGGTGTGATCTAAATGGAACACCTATCAGTTTGTTGAGCCAATGGTAAAGTATCCCATATTCCTGTATGCAAGGAAATAAGGCTTAGACTCTTGTGATGCTTCAATTCTGTGCACCATGTCTGTATGTACGTACTTGGTCTTAAAGCATGCTTTGCCCCAAGAATAACATTTTGATGCTCTCTTGTTCACTAGAAATCCTGACCATAGTATTTCTTGGCAATTCTTGGCATTTACATTGGGATTCAACAGTAATACAAAAACTTTGTTAGCCTTTATTTTTCTGGATCCGACTAAATCAGGCTGCCTAGGGTATGGTGGTTTTTGAATTAAGCTTGGCACTTAAAACCAAAATGCAAGTATTTACAGCTGGGTGTAGGGGAACGGGAAAGGAGAGGAATAACACCTGTATCGCATAATTCAGTTTGTGGCTGAATGTATGTGGCTTTCAAACCATGCACACACATTGCTTGAATGTAATGGGAGTTTTAAAGGGTTTAAGGTTCAGACAGACGATATAGTGATTTAGGTCTCACCCAGGCCAGTCATAGTGATTAGGTCTGTGCCTAGCCTGGGCTGAGGGTTTTGCTCAAACAATGATTAGGTTTGAGCGAAACCCTGAGCTGTGATTAGGTCTGAACTGGGCTGAAGTGTAGTGGTTAGATCTTAGCCCAGCCCTGGGCAGTGATTGGGTGAGAGCCCAGTTCTGGGCTGAGACTTAATGACGAGGAATATGGGAACGTACAGGATTGGAAATGACCATTGCAATCCATGTGGTCTCAAAGTTTATTTTGGAAAATAAAAAACGACACCATCTTATATCCCTCAATTGAATTCTTCACCAAATATCTTGTCTATTTCTCACTTTGAATTTGCCGATACATCCCGTCTCCTACTTCAGCTGCAGAATCAAAAGCGAGCAGGAGGAGTTATTCTGAAGAAGGGTCGTAGACCCAAAACGTTGACTCACTTTCCTTTCTCCATAGATGCTGCCTGACCTGCTGAGTTTTCTCAGCTCTCTCTGTTTTTGTTTTAGGGGGAGTTATTTACCTGTGTATACTCGGGACATTATTTGGAGCAATGGTAGAGTTTATTACCCAGTCCTTCCTGCCCATCCTATTCCTACATTAATTGCAAAGATAATTGTCATTATTATCATTTGTAATTATCCAGCTATCGGAGAAAATAGGATGGTGGCCAATGGCAACACGGATTGAATATTTCCCCGTCTGCTTTATGTAAGTAGACAGAAATGAGCTTCCCTTAATGTCTGTGTGCCCCAAGGTACCACATTCTGAACTTCTGAGACCATTGACAGCCCACGATCTGGGCCCTCGCTCTATTGTCATCAGCAAGTAAATTGGTCAACAATAACTGAGGAGATGTGAGCCTGGCTTAGTCATTTCGGTGTTAAAACCTGGATACATTAGCACTGCCTGAATTCATTTTTATTGGAAACAATAAATTGAGGGAAGTGGGAGAAGAATGGAGAGGGCACTAATTCTTGTAGAACTTTAGCACTATTTTCCTTATGGAAACTCGCAACCTAATAGGTTTCACTGTAACCCAGGGCCAGTTTGTAATTATATTGCTTCATAAAAGTCGCAGTAGAGAGTAGCAAGTATAACCATCAATTCAATCTGCTCAGCCTCCGAGTAGGAGGAACTAAAACATTCTGAAAGAGTTCAGCTTTCCAAGTTTCAAACAAACTGAACATCAATGACAGACTGAGCAGGCTGATTTCTTTAATAAAATGAAGCATTAGCTTGTTTCCGGGAATGTGCATACTTTAATTTAGGGCGACTTATAAATGGGAAATATTTGTTTCGAGTCGGGCTAGACACAATTTGTCTTGGACTTCTTTCACACCGCGGTTCGGGTAAAGGGTCGAACTCCCTGGGTGGTAAACAGTGTTTTGTTTTCTCTTTCCTATTCCTTAATTCCCATTTCATGGTGAGAAAGGCAAACCCTGAATTGATGATTCAGGTTTCAACAACACAGCAGAATGGAGGAGCTTGTGAAAACGCCAATTGCTGATGTGTCTCATTTTGAAAGGAGTAAGACTTGTTAGTGGATTCAAGTGTTTTGACGCTTCCAGACATCTTGGAACATTGCTTTGGGGTTTGCACATCTCCTCTGCTAATTGGCGACTACAACAGCCCATCCTGGTAACATGATCATTCCTTTGTGACTGCTTTATACGACTTGTTATTTACTTATTCTGTTTGTGTCATTCTAGCTGTAAGGAACATTTTGTTACGTTTTTGTGCAACTGTGTTTCTTTGTTGCCTGTCATTAGAAATAATGTCTTTTTTCCTCGTAGTAGAAACCAGCTTTTGCCCAAAGTCTAGGTAATATTTAAGAATGAAAAGCGTACACAGACGTTACTGTATTTAAATGTTCACAATGCTTTTTCACAAGAGAAGTTGAGTATAATGAGAAAATTGTCTACTTTTTATGTCTGACCAAGCAGAATACAGATCATTGTACGTTTTTGTTTTATTTTGTCATTTCCTTTAATAATTTTTGGTAAGTGATACTTCCACAATATTTATAAGTGGGGTCTAGAGTTTAGCTATGATCTGCTTTCTTTGATTTTAAATATGAGTGTGACTTCAAAGTATAGCATATTGCACTGGTGATCTTATCACTTTTTTCTTTTTACACGTGTGCAAGACCCCACGATTTGGTCAGCACTGTAGACCCGAGTGAGTTGTGAAAATCTTTGCTTGCGGGAAAGACACAGCGGTAAAAGTGACGTGGTCATCCGTCTGGTTGCTTATTGTGGTGTGTGGGTTGGAGGGCTCAGGACTGAACGGGGAAAGCGAGGTGATAATTCACACGCGTGCATTATTGGTTTTGTTTTCACTGCCACAAAGTGTCGGCAGCAGTGAGGTTAGGAATGATCACCGCAGAGTTAAAGTTGATGCTGTTTTTATTATTTGTAAGATGTGACCAGGAAGATTTCCGTTGTTCGAAACTAGGATTCAGCAATGATTCGCTGACCTTTCTTTTTACCCCACAAAATTATACCAGCCTGCCCTTGTATGTGTGTGCATGTGTATGTGTGATTGAATGGGTGAGTCGATTGAGAATTGCAAACGACAGCCAAGACCACGGGAGCAATTTAACAAGCAGGAGTTAACCTTTTGAGTAATCAATGTTCTCTACTGTTTTCAAATTGGATAAAACCTTCAATGCACGATATCTGGATTGCGGTTGAATCAATGATGATCAATATTAGAATCGGAAATGTAAAGTAGACCTCGAGTGTTCATTGATTTGCAGTGCCCTTTGACTAACCAGTGCAAAGCATTGCGATGTAGTGCAAAACTGCCTGCACCTTCCTCAAAGGGTTATAATTGCGAGAAGTTCGGGCACTTACTGGTGGAGAAAGATCTTCTGTGATATCCTTGCTGAAAGTATAGAGATGATAATGGATTATATATTTATATATTATGACTTACAAGTTGTCACATGTAAAATAGAATACACATTCAGTAGAGCTGCTGTAAGTTTAGACGTTACTTTCCCCTTATAAATGCCTGAGCACCCGCACTATCTCCCAATATTACAAGTCACACTCTTAGTCACAGCAGATTTTGTTGAATTTTGCAGGACATCCCAGTTGAACGCAACCAACCCAGATAGTGCAATCGTTTGCAGATTTAGCTTCTAACCATTCAGAAACCGACAAAGTGCTAGATTCAAGAAAGCAAATTGTACTTAAAAATTATCCTCAGGAGATTGTATACTGTTTTGCCAACCGTTTGTTTGTTGTTTTTCAATACCCTAGTTAAAAGCGAAGAAATTCTTTGGCAAAGTAGTTGTTGAGAAGTATTCAGGCATTGAAAATGATGGGCTTGGGTAATTGTGAAGGGGGCAGCTAACTCTTAACTCGTAACAGTGGGTGAGATGGCGTAGGGGGGAGTGGCGAGGGATGGGGGGGGACACGAGAGTGGAGGCAAATTATGTCAGCTTGCTTGCAGCCAATTCAGGCCAATTGATGGCTGAGAACAGGAAGCTCCTTTCATTGGGTCTCCTATGGTGCTCGGAAAGTTGTGTCGCAACAGGTTCTGCTCAGCGTCATGTGAAACCATTGAAATAAAAGTCAGCACAAGAGTCTGGGTAGGCATGTCTGCTGCAGGAGATGTTTGTAACAGGGATGACATGCGC